TATTTTTCAGTATACTTAAAAATAACGATAATCACTTAATCTATAACATCGTATCATTAAAGAAATGTTTTTATATAAAAATTTGATATTTCTTTCATCTGTGAGTAAAAAAATATTTTAAAAACAAGAATATGAAAAAATTAATAATTTATATATAGGCCATATATATTTTAAAATTTCTATTAGCTTTATTTTAAAATTTACATAATATTACATTTGACATTTATACCATCATCACTTTTTAAAAATTCGTGAATGAGGTTTAATGTACATATCNCTATATATATATAAAATGCTTCTTAATGAATATTTAAATATATTTTTTTAAAAGGAAAAAAGTACTTATCGTAGTAATTAGTATCTTGAACCGATTTATTCACAAATAAAATAGCTTAGAGATCACCTAACACGATTCAAAAAATATTGTAATTGTGAAAAATTCCCTTGAGCTGGTCATTTATCTTCCTTTTCAACTCATTGTCTAAAAACTGTTTGAAATGAAAACATCCCACAATAATTGATGAGTTTTCTTAATTCCGTCTACAATCTTTGAACTACACGTTTTTATGTGGACAATGCTTTAGTAATGAAGATGATCTTGACTAAATTTGAAAGCAAACTAAATGAGTGGAAAATTTGAGGGGAAAAAATAAAAGTGGATTAAATCGATGTGAAATCAGGAACTGACAATGGAAGAGAACAGTTCGTTTGATATATCTTCCACTTTTATGTAATTACTCAATGCTGAAATGTAAACAAACTTGGAAAAGAAAAATATCAAGTTACTTGACAGATAATATTTTCTGTGTCTTCTTTTTTAATTATTAACAATAGAAAGAGAAAATTTTGAGAAACATATTTTATATTCACTAAAAGTTATTACGGTTATCTATGTATATTTATAAACAAATTTCAATTTTTCTCTGTAGAAACATAAGGGAATATTTTTCAAAAATTTAAAATTAAAATTTGTGATATATATGATATCGATTTAACATTCAGTTTATACTGAACTTAACCGCTCTACTGTTTTTTGGTGTGTGTCCATTTTGCAACAGTTTTCTCTCGCGTAGGAAGCAGTAAATTTTCAAATGTTTCCTATTGAAATATGGAAATAGATTTAAAAACACATCAAATAATAATTATATCAACAATTTTTTCCACTTCGTTTTCATTCTATGATGATAATTTATTATTATTTTTTTTTAAACATAATTTTTACATAGCTTCTTCTTAAAATTGAAATGGTTCAAGAGTACAATTTATTTTAATTTTAAAATATTTGTTCTGTATATTTTTCACTTATATATTTTATTCCATAAAAGTTTAATTTAAATAATGATTATTTTACTATTTATCGAAACTAGTAAAATGTCAGTCCACAGAAATGTGAACTTACTATTCCGAAAAAATGGGAAATCAGCAAAATTTTAAATACGATAACCTCAGATATTGTTGAAACAAAATACCTAAAATGTAGAAAAATTCTGATCTGTGCTCAATTTTTGAAATAAAATAGAATTTTATTGTCTAGTCGACAGAAATATGATATATTCTCCGATTTAATTATTTTGACATTCAACGCTGAAGTGTAGCTATACACAATGCTTATCTCTTACATTGATGATTTGCATATTTTAAACAAACGTTGTAATTATTTAAATATTACAATAATGTAGATACATCGAAAGGTACATTTACAAGGAATAATTCTATCTATATCCGAGCTGGAATTCAAATTAATCATTTTTAAAAGTTGTAAAAGTTTGAACTTCGAGTTATTTAATCTGACAAAAATATATTTAAAAATTAGAGTAATCTGATATTAAATATAATTTAAAATGAAACATTCATAAATTTAAAGAAAATGTGGTCTTTCACTTGTTATTTAAGTTTTATTAAATATTAATATATATATATTAAATTATCAGAAACTAATCTAAGTCCTCTCATTCTATGACAAGGCAAATAGTTTCCGTTTCAATAAAATGTTTTCTACGAATTTAAATATAATAAATCATTACTACAAATAATTATAAAAAGTTAATTAAACATTGTTTTAATTATATAACACTATTGACGTTTATAATTTCTAAACTTTTTAAAAATTTTATATACTGTAGTACAGTATGTATAATTAATATATTTCCCAATTATAAATAAAATAATTATTTTTAATAAAAACTTTTTGTTTTCTTTTAATTTTAAATCGTTTATTTTTTTATAAGTATTTTTTAGTATGTTTTCCTGAAAACACATAATTCTCAGATTGTGTGGGTTAACTCTCGAATGGATTTTCACATTCTTTTTATATGAGTGATCAATATTTCGATTTTTAAAATTTCTAAAAGTAGATATCTAGCTTTAACTTAAATGTATATTATTCACCAAGTCTAAGTTATAGATTAATGAGAATGAATTTTTTGTCTGATAGAGTCTGACGAGATGGAATATAGTCTCCAGGGATATTTCTATGTCGAGATACTCAAATCATATTTTCTAGATAAAAGCCTTGAATGAGTGATAAATTTTTTATGTTTAACAAACGGTAAACTTTGTGATATGAGAATACTTGCACATTCTCTTCTATTTAAATTTAAGTTTAAATCTCTTTTCATATAGCACCGAAACTCTTTAAAAAATATAAAACTAATAATGATTTGTTGCAAACTTCATCGTAATATACATTCGCCTATTTTTTATGTATTTATGTGAATGTAAAACCCTTAATGAGTTATAAAAAATCGATTGATGAAATTCTTACTACAGAATTCGATATAAGAATAAAAAGTTATAAAATTAATCGATAAAAACTGCAGACTATATTCAACAAATACACATATCCTGTCTGCAAATAAGAAATCGATAAAAATATAAACAAACATCGATAATTAAAATTCTAANTAATTATTTTTAATAAAAACTTTTTGTTTTCTTTTAATTTTAAATCGTTTATTTTTTTATAAGTATTTTTTAGTATGTTTTCCTGAAAACACATAATTCTCAGATTGTGTGGGTTAACTCTCGAATGGATTTTCACATTCTTTTTATATGAGTGATCAATATTTCGATTTTTAAAATTTCTAAAAGTAGATATCTAGCTTTAACTTAAATGTATATTATTCACCAAGTCTAAGTTATAGATTAATGAGAATGAATTTTTTGTCTGATAGAGTCTGACGAGATGGAATATAGTCTCCAGGGATATTTCTATGTCGAGATACTCAAATCATATTTTCTAGATAAAAGCCTTGAATGAGTGATAAATTTTTTATGTTTAACAAACGGTAAACTTTGTGATATGAGAATACTTGCACATTCTCTTCTATTTAAATTTAAGTTTAAATCTCTTTTCATATAGCACCGAAACTCTTTAAAAAATATAAAACTAATAATGATTTGTTGCAAACTTCATCGTAATATACATTCGCCTATTTTTTATGTATTTATGTGAATGTAAAACCCTTAATGAGTTATAAAAAATCGATTGATGAAATTCTTACTACAGAATTCGATATAAGAATAAAAAGTTATAAAATTAATCGATAAAAACTGCAGACTATATTCAACAAATACACATATCCTGTCTGCAAATAAGAAATCGATAAAAATATAAACAAACATCGATAATTAAAATTCTAATAATTTATTTATTTTTTATAAAAATAAAATAATAAATAATTAAAATCTTTTATAAATATTACTACAATAAACGTTCTTGTAGATGATAGTAAATCATTCAATAAATATCATATTAGTTGCGTCCTTTTGAAGGCAACTGTTTCCCAATTTTTGTATGACGATGCAAAAATTCCTATTTACTACATTTACAAAACTGTTTTCTCTTTAATAAAATATTATTTCAGTTTTTTTTATATTTTAAAATTTTCTTTTAAGTTAATTTTAGCAGACATCGTCATTACTTTGACTAAATATTCTTTATATAAATCCGACGAGATTTATAAATTAAATAAAATATTTATTACAAAACATATATTTTATATATTTTTTAAGCGATAAAGTCTTATATGAAACGCGTTGTAAATATCTATTATAATTAGGATATTTGTTTAAGTTAAATTAATGTTAAGTGCATTCTATGATACAGAAGATGCCTTAATGAAATTGATTCTAGAAATTAAGAGACAATATATACTGTTTAGCTTTAGAATAATTTGCATTAAAAGATAGGAACGTAAGAGAATAACATTGCAAGCAATCAAAAATCTAAGTTATACTTTGAATAGGACCGAGATATCGGTTCTGATTTTTCCATTTATCAAATAGCATCAATTTTTACTATCGATGTTTCGAGCGAGTCACTGTAAAAATAGCTGATTATACAACAGTTTACTCATTAATATAATATATAAAATGACTTTTAGATATATCTATTTTTGCTTTTTAAAAGAATTAAATTTAATTCTCGAAACGTTATTAAAATCATCAAAATTTCTTATGTTTCGTGCATGGTATAGGTCGTTTACAATTTTCTGGTACCTTGGACCGGATCTACATTGAGAATATCGATTACAGGAAAACTCAACAGCTTCCTTTTATTTTGAAAAATATAAATGAAACTAAAATTTAATTCGATTTTGGAATTAAAAGAAACAAATACCCCACCAAACACCTTAACGATAAGATAACGCAATAAATACAGGTACAGTACATGTTTAAAACTCAGCTGTATCAATATTAACATTTTAATTATGTTGGAGTAAATACTAAAAATAAATCAAATTTCGCAGATTTTGGATATATATTTTTTGTTATTTTATAACTCGTAATATAAGCAATAAAAGTATTTACAAAAAAATGTAATTATCCCTACATAATTAAACGTATTTAACAATCACGCATGTAATTGAATTAATTAATTTTTTTTAAAGTAAATTAATAATACAAAATAAGACCAGAAAGATACATAAAAGTATTTTTCTCGATACCGTTCAATGGAAAGAGCCCGAGGCTCGAAGAGATCCGAGATATTCACCTACCTTTAGAGTAGTGAGATAACGTGAAGTGGACAGTAGGAACAGTTATCATCATACGATTTTCTATAAGAAATTAATAAGTGCAATTACGAAAATACTCCGTCAAGCAAGCACTTAATATTAAAGCATTGGATAGCCAGCAACTTAGCCAAACTGATTTGCTGCGTTGATGCCGCAGTCGAATTCCGCCAGGAGGCGTTTGTGGGGAAAGTCGATGGAATTAGAATGGAGAAGGTTGAACAAATATTTTATATTTTCACTAATTGAGTGTTTACGTGTCTATACCCACAATTTTCATTGGCTAACAAATAAAATGACTTCTTAAATAAATAAATAAATATATGTATATATTTTAATACTTATCTTAGTTATTTGAATAGAGAACATTTAAATGAATCGATATAAGTTCTTTGTAGAAAATCCACNGTAATTGCGATTACATTGTGATTTGTTACATCTTTGCCTGACCAATCACATGATCCACATCTGTGACAATTACTTGTTCTTGTTTTTGCCTTCAAGTAATCAGCAGATCGAATGTGCATTATCTGTGAAATGTCTTTTCTTTTTCAGAATAATCCAACTAAAAAATTATTGAGTTATCTTAAATCTATCAGCCCAATTACGACATATTCTCTTTCTGACGAAACCATGAACATCATGAAATTTCTGTATACGAATAAGTACGGTTTTAAAATATTAAAATTAGACATTTATCGGAAAAAATTGACTATAAATAATGAAAATTGTAATTTTCTATTAGTTATCAGCTATAAATACATTTTACTTTTAGTTTATAATTCAATTAGAATAATACACTGAATTATGAGTACATTGTTTCATGACACTCAAAGATGACAAATGCTTTGGTTTAAAACCAATTTTATCGTAAACATTGCAAACACTTTTACCTTTACATAGAAAGTTTAATATTACTGTATAATAATGAAAGTAATAAAATTTAATTTTGAAGAAAAGTGCTATTAGTTATCAGAAATGTCAGAAATTAAAATAATTGTTTAATCACACAATTGAATACAATGTAAATTTATTATAACAATATTTAAAATCAAAATGTGAAATAAGAAATTAAAATCAATGAAAAAAAAATTGGTGTTGTATTCGAAAGTCTAATTTTTGTGATGGAGATAGCGGTGAATCCAGAGACGGGTGTTCAAAATGGATAAATGGAAATGGGTATTCTATCATTATATCGTTGATGATAATTCACTATTAATATTAATCAGTAAAACAGAAGCAAGGAAAATTTTGAAAGAAATGAGTTTGAAAATTTCTTTTACAATGAATTCCGCACGATTTTATTTAGTTTTTGCTTTGTGTTATTTATTGATTGAATAAAGTCGACTTTTGAAAGTTTGATTGTATTCGTGTTTTATTTTTGTAAGCATACACATTTACATGAAAAAACTTTAAACATTTTTTTGAATAATGTGCTGCGTTTATTCTTGTTTTAAAGTTAAATTTGAAATTTTCATTTTCATGAAATGTAAATTTTACTTACGTTTAGTTTATAGACATTTTTACATTTTAATACTTTAATATTATTACTTAGAAATTTAATCTAATAATTTAAATATATTTTCTTATTTCCTAATAATATATTATAGAAAGCATATACCTGTAAGTTTATTTAACTGTGGTAAATGTACTGTACATATCTTAATAGTCTAGAAGAAGTTTCCGTAATTTTATTTACACGATAATTAAATTCTTTGAAATAGAATTGGTCTTAAGATATCTTCTATATAACAAGAAAAAAAACTTAATATTTTTCAAAATTTATTCTATTAGGAAATGAAATGCTTACATAGAGAAGATTTATATTTTATTTGTTTGTGGATAAAATACAGAATTTAAATAATTTATCGATTGATATCAACAAGACTTATCGTACTATACAGTACATTATTTAAAATTTTTTTGCTTATATTTTTAAACATCTTTTCTTCGGTAATTTATAATTAAACTGTAATTATTAACATAAAATAGCTTTTATCTTTATAAAAATTTATTTATTGCAATAATTCATTACCGTTAATTGATCTTATGTATATCCAACTATAATTTTTAAACTTAATTCATTATAATTTATCCTCGTACTTGTTCTGTTGTTAGCTGTATCTGTATAATATGTATCGATTTTTAAACTATGCTGTATTACGTAAATTTTAAAAATTTGGTGATATGTTTAATAGAGAAATCAGCCACTACCATCATTATTGGTTGGATAATTATGATACTTCGTGATAATTACATCCCGATGACGCATTATTATTCAAATGAATATTCGAATATTCAATTGATTCAGGAAACTAATGTATTTTTCTATTCTCTTATGAATTGACTGTTTATATCTATCAGATCATTCTTCTAATTTGTTTACTTAGTTATATGATTCTCTATCATCACTTAATGTCATAATTCGTTTTGTATTACTAATATAATTTTCTGATCTTGAATTACATATAGCTTTTATCGAATAATATTCAATATGCTTTCGAGTATTTCAATTATCTTTATAAATCTAATGTACAGTACAGCACAGTATAGTACAGTATGTTATATTTATATTATGAGTTTGTAATTACATATGAAATAAATATTGTTAAATTTTAAATATTCTTTTACCGAATTACAATATATAAAAACTTAGAAATTATTTTAATATTGTGAAATATCGTCAAATATTCAAAGGGACTATTTAAATGTAATTCATAATTAAAGTTTACATAAATGTAAGATGTTTGAAAGTATAAAGTTGTAAAGTATAAGTATAAATAATAAATTAAATATTAAAATATTGTAAAGTTATTTTTGTGTTCATTAAATAATTATATAAAATTCATAGTTTTTACTCTAAACTTTTTATATATTGATTGTATTACTTTTATGTTAAAATAAATTTTTTGCAATGTTATTATTTTATTTTTGAATTTAAATAATTCAAATTAGACATGTGAAGATATCTAAGACCTATAGATTATATATATAGACTAGTGTAAAATTAAGGATATTTTCTGATTTCCTAATAAGTTATCCTTTTTATAGCCTTTAAAAGATAATTAGTGATAGAAAGAGAAGAGTAATGTTAGCAAGAGTAATTTCTGGTCCATTCTTTTGTTCGGGGTAATTTTTTTAATGTTCGTACTTGTTCAAGAAATGAATTGGAAACTTCAAAAAATTACAGGAAAATAATGCAACTCGCCGAAAAAAGGCTATAGAAAGCTTATAATTTTTTGATGATAATCATTTAAATTAGTTAGAAACTTTTTCCATAAATTAAAACGATAATGTTCTGACAAATTATGATTGATGTTTAGGCCATATTAGATTGGGTACTAATAGCTTTATTACTTGTTTCAAAGCAAAACGGATAATCAATTTTTGGTGATCGATACTAAAATTAAACCAAAATTATATATTATTAAAAATATTATAAAATTTTATAGGAATTTATATTTAACTTTAGATTCTGCAATTAAAAGATAGATTAACTAGCAATCAATTATTATTATATTAATTTTAAATAAATAAATGATAAAAATATAATGAAACAATAAAG